GCAAACACTTTGCTATGCTCCCTATTGTTCTTTTCCAAGAATAGAACTGCCTCGGCAAACCATGTGCCCAAAATGGAACCAAACAACCAAGGGCCATTGTGAAGAATAAGAGAAACAACCACAGGGGGAAGCATCGTAACCCAGAGATGACTCCTGTATCCTTTCTATCCGTAGGGAGAGAACACGGACAGGTATTTTTTACTTCTGTAAGAATATCCTCTGAAGTCTGGTCTGAGCACTTCAATCAAGAAACACAAGAGATGAATCTAAAGGATGCCTGTCTCTCAGCACAGGTAGTGTGATTTCAGCAAAGACCATGGGCCACAGAGTTAGGCACACACTGGACATAAATCCCAGCCAACTCTACCACTTACAATCATGTCTCCGAGTAAACCAACATCTGTCTCACTCAGTTTTTGTTTTGTAAAATGGTTTCACAACCACCTAGCCCATGTGTAATGGCAGCTTTATTTATGGTAATAGCAGTGCACACAACACATAAATGATGGTTCCTATGTATCAGTTTCCTGTCTTCCTCCTCAGCTCAGTGTATTTTATCTGATGCTAGGTCCCTTCAGAAATGAGGTGAGCCCGGGCTGCCTGCCAACATCTCTGCCATGGCAATACTAAGGGCCAAAGCTACATCAGCTCCCAGGAAACCTGCATTTTCTATCTCAATGAAAACTGAAGTGCCTGGCTTTCTGGTTCTATTGTGTAGAAATGCAGATGGCCGCTTTCCCTGCTATTTAAAAACTGCTCTAGGCGGTGGTCATGTTTAACATGGCCCCATGTGTATTGGCAACATTTAAGGGGAAAGAAATTACAAACAAAGAAAATACTGAGTTTGTTCAGTAAACACATTGAGGAAAGAGAGAGAATGCAAAGCAACAACTTTTTAGGCAAGTCAGCAAGCAGCTGGGTTGAAATCATCACACTATGCAACATGAGCATTCTGGAAGGCAAGGGGGATTCCTAAAGTAACCAACCATTCTTCACTGGTCAAACTGAGGTCAGCAGCCAGCGACCCCTCATTCACTCTGCAACACAGAAAGGCTGTCTCTAAATGCTCCCAAACCCAAGCAGGGACTACGCTGAAGATGTTTTGTGTCTTTATGAGTGAAGGATGTCATCTGCACTGTTGAGTCACACTGCACGGGAGACGTCATGCGCAGCTGAGTTGTCGTTCGTGAATTACATCACATAGCCATCACACATTTTATATACCAAGTGCCCTCCAATCATTTGTATTAGTCTACACACCACCAACAACCTAACATTCTTAAGGATAATTTTTCTGTCTTATACAAGACATGAAGAAGTCAAGTGATTTGCCTAAGGTCAGGCAGCAGATTTCTTAAAATCACAGGCAGAGAGAGTGAGCGAGAGGGGGTGGTGGGAGCTGAGATCTGAGAGAGGATGCTATGCTAGGACCCTAATCTCTCTTTACCTAAGAAAGGCAAGTTGGGTAGCATGTGCAGGTATTTAGTTTTAATTCCGTTCTTCCCACAGCATGGTTGATAGGGTGTAAAGAATAGGATATGCTTCCTAAAGCGTATGCCACTCCTAAAAAAGAAATATTTTCAATAATTCTCCCCATTTAAAGGAAAGCCATAGAAAAGCTGGACCCTCGGTTACTGCCTCCCTAACCTCTTCTGCTGTAACTCCAAATACTGAGATGCAGATAAGAGAAACAAGTATGGAAACTGTATCCCAACTATCAAGTGCTTCTTCATACATGATTCTTTTCTACTCAACCAAGGCTGGAAGCATGACTGTGGTATTTATTCCCAGACCACGCATGCAAATTGCCTCCCAAGGAAGCCCATTTATCTATGGCCCAGTGGGATTCTCACAGTCACAAATGCATGTGACACACAAGCATACCTAGGGTCTACGAGAGCCCACTGGCTAACAAGGCTGTGTATTTTACAAGTACTCCATTAAAAAAATGTCTGTGGCCAGGCATGCTGGCACAAACCTATAATCCCAGCACTAAGGTGGCTGAGGCAGGAGGATCTAGCCTACCTAGATCCTAGTTGACCTAGCCTAGACTACACATTGAGACCCTGACTCAAAGAACAAAGCAAAAGAAGTCTCTGGAATGGGTATTAAAGAGCAACTAGAGGAAGTGGCAAGAAACGTAGGAAAGGGAGGCAGGGGCCTTCCCTCAACAGAACTGTTTTTACTTGGCTTTGGAGAACCTGAGAGTCTAGGTTTCCTGGCAAGCTTGTGTGGCATGCTGTTCACGGTGGGCTCAGCCAAACAGGTGGGCTGTGGGTTTTGGGCTAAGGAGTGGGCACCTCCCTCCCTCAGAAGCCACTCCAGAGAGAGGGAAAAACACTGACAATAATTTGGTTCACTGGAGAGAAGTAATGGTGAAACCCCTCTTTCTGCCTATACTCTGCTCCCAGCAAGTACACGTTTTATGGGGAGGAGAAAAGCCTGGGCAGGGGGTGGATGGCAGGGAAAGGATTCTTTGAAATGGTGGGGGACAACAGAGCCAACTTTCCCATCCTAGTCTGAGCCCACACTACAAAAAGACACATTTTTCCATATTGGGGAATAATAATCCCTTTATCCAGCCAGCCTGGAATCTCATAATTGATTTCAGACCTTGGGTGGAAAGTTGGGAAGGTGTGAGAGATGGAAAACGGGGTGGGGAATGGAACGAGGAAAGCATGGAGCCAACAAAAAGGAGGGTGGGGGTAGGTAGATGGCTTACTGAAGCTAACAAGGCTAAAAACTTCCGATGTTCCACCACGAACAGTGCTGCCTAACATGCCAGGCAGCTTTCCGAGAGTAGCCTGCAAGAGGCAGGTCACAGCACTGTGCCAGAGCCAGGCTGGCATCTGGTCCTGGCCCTAACTATTAGCTGCAAGATCCTGGGCAACTGTACAACCTGTGAAGTCTAACTTGGCTCTGACAAGCTGTTCACTCCTTCCTGCTCAGACAGCTGTCCATTCTTGCACACACCTATTGAGCACCAATTGTTCGGGATGGGGGTGTTGGAGGGGGCAAACCTCCTGTAAAATGCTAAATATTTTGAAGCTTAAATATTTTCGGGTTTGTGGGCCACATATTCTTTGTCACACCCACTCAACTTTGCCATTGCACCATAGCACAAATGTAGTCAGACAAAAGAATGAGCACTGCTATGTTTTAATCAAACTTTATTTACCTTTGAATTTCATATAATTTCTGCATGTCATGAAATATTATTTCTCTGATATTTTTCTATCAGTTAAAATTATAAATGTTTAGCACACAGACCATACAAAAGCAGATGGCAGTCAGGATATGGTCTGAGGGCCATAGTTTGCCAACTTCTACCCCAGAGACAGGTACAGTGGTGAGCAAGACAGTCTTGCCATTCATGGTTTTGTAATTATCAGTTCTAGTGGTCTCCTCTGGCATTAGAGTGGCCCAATAAATGTATACCCTGCCTCATTTTGTCACACATTGATGCAGTCTGTTCTTCTTATCCTTTGAAACTTCAGCATAACCAGGATGCCTCTACTATAGGATCTCAACCATCATGACCCTGGGTTCCTCAACTAGTGGGGAGAAGTTTCGGTTTATTGTCAGAATAGAGTGGATAGAGAAGCAGCAGAAAAGAGGTATGTGTATGATGGGAAAGGCTGTAATGGAACAGTAACATTTAAAAAAAAATGCAATCATTTCTCCCAACAATTCAGAAGAAAAGGATAAAATGTTGCACGTGTAGGTGGTAGAGGATGACAGAAAATCACTAGGACAGACAGGATTTAGCTGTGGGGACTCTACAGTCACAACACACCACATTCCCCACTATCACCAGCAAGTCCCCTCTCAGTCTAGCACTGAGATACCCCCAGGGAATACTGTCAAAGGAAATGGCCACATCTATCTTTCTAATGAAGCCTGGGAGGAGAACCGTTACTATCAGGCTCAGCAATACCAGGACTCACAGATACAGAGGTGGGCTCTGACCCAGAGGCCTACTGGACATACCCAAATATGGCCTTCCTGACAAGGATGCCAGGTCTAAGAAGAAACCTAGGAGTGTCTTCAGAGCAGTGTTGAAGGCAAAAGGAACCATACAAAATCAAAATGGCTAACGGCTACATTTCTAGCTCCTGTTAAGGATCCTCTAGCTCACTACCTTCAATCAGAAAGTCCTAAGAATCATTCACCCAATGTGGTGAATGACACACACTGGTAATCCCTACACTCTGGGAGGCTAAGGCAGGAAGATCCTAGCCTGCGCACTTAGAAATTTAATGAGATCCTGTCTCAAAAGAAAAAATGTAGCTCAGTGTGAAGTCCCTGGGTTCAAACTCCAGTACCTCGGGGGAGGGGGGGTCCTTAGAATCATGAAAGTATAGACTGAAGCTAAAAGTGAGCGGTCTTAAAGATTACCCAGATCAATACTTTCAGTTTATAGATGGAGAAACTGTACCACAGAATGATTAAGTAGCTTGTTTGAGATAACGTCTATAGTCACTTACCAGGTAAATTACAAATACCTCAACTATGTACTTTGAGAAAATATAAAAAAGACAAGAGAAAAACCAAAAAGTAAACCATCAAGTCCTTACTGTGTTATCCTGGCAATCTTCACAACTACACTATGATATGGGGACTGTTATTAATTATCCCACTCTGCAGCTGAGGCTTAAGGCTCACAGCAACAAAGCAACCAACTCAAGATCCCAGAGTCAGAGCAGGAACACAGGCAGTCTGATTCCACAGCTGCCTTCTTCCCTGCATCATGCCTGGATTCTATACCTCTGTCCTACCTGGTGATGATGCATGTGAAGGGGAGAAAATTTTATCACCAGCAGGTTCCAACACTTCCCTCTGCTGCCAGACTGTCACATACTACAGCACACACCCCACCCCATACTTCTGCTCTTCCAGCAGCTCCCTGCCAGAAGGCAAGTTCCTTACTCAAGGCTCTGAGAGGAAACAATGATATGAGCCCTTTCCCTCCCACACAGAGAAGGCAGATTGGGACTTACCTGAAGCAAGTCCGTCTCCAAGTAGGGTGCTAAGGATCACCAGAGGAAGGAACATTCCATATCCCACGGAGGCCACAACAAACGCTGAGCTGCTCTTTGGTGCTATCATGCCATGGCACATCTTTTATCCGTAAAAGTTGTATTAAAAAGACAAAATTTAAAATCCAGAAGTAAGAATCCTAAAGCCAGTAAAAGGCAGATACCTATGACAAATAAATAAAAAACAAGGACTTTAGTAAGTGAAAACTCTGGCCATAAATTAATTAAAAGCAAGCATTTTGGTAAAGAAAAAACAATTCCATACAAAGCTGAAAGAATTCTAGCAACTGAATCCTCGCTGCCAGGAGGAGCCAAGCACAGAAATGGTTTTTCACTCCTTCTAAGGGAAGGCCAGGGCCTGTAGCTAGCTGCTGTCAGCATCCCACCCAGGAGCCAGATGCTTGTGACACAGCCAGGAGCCAGCTCAGGCTCACCTGGACACTGGCTGGGCGATGGAGCTTTCCACAACCGCCCAGCTCTGCCCCTCCCTGGCCTCAGAGGCTCCACCAAAGAGGCAGCTATTGACACAGAGGTGCTACACCCAAGTCAGGCTCTGCCTTTGCCACCTGGACTCAAAACAAGTTCAACTAATGAAGGCAGCTCTGTGCGCGCCCGTGCGTGTGCGTGTGCGTGTGCATGTGTGTGTGTGTTTGCGCACGCACGTTTCTTGAAGACAGAAATACACCACCTAAAGAAGGAATGCAGCAGGAAAAGCCAAGCTAACTTGCCAGAGGCTGGAGGAGCCACTAAGGATCTGACTCCATAGCAATGAATTTCAAAAATGGCATGATTAATCAAGGCTCATCTGACACACCTGTGTCGAGAGCTCGCATTCTGTTGGGTATCCCTTAACTGATGGGGGGCAGAGAACAGGCCATAGTTGCTAATTAGCCCTGCCACCCACTCAGGTTCAAAGAGATTTCAGAAGAGTAGAAACTAATATCTTTAAAAACTAAAAACAATCAGGGATCAAGACTTTAGGAATTATTTTCCAAATGCCTTTAGGGAAGAACCTGGGTAGATGATACATTACAATGTAGATCTATTATATTTTAGTTACCTTATTTGATTTCATTTGCCAGTTGTTCATATATTCTAGTTTATAACAGGTAAGCCAAATAAAATTACTTTTTAAAAATTCCACACACTCTCTTTATTAATAAGGTTTTGTGTGCATAGAGGGAGCCTGCCATCCACAAGCCTAATAAAGGATGCCCTGAGACTCTGCGAGAGACATTAACCAGACATGAATTTAATGTGCATTTGAATCCCTGATGCAGGCCCATGTCCCTTCTAGGGGGGGCAACTGTAAACAGCACCAGAGTTCTCTCACTCAGAGGAGCAGCCAGGAGAGTCTTCATCATTAGCCAGGACCAAGGGCAGACCTAGCCACTGGTCCTCATCCCCTTCCTGCAAATAATTGTGGATGTAGCATATTCTGCCCCCAGCTCAAACTGAGTTTCCAACTTGAGACTTTGAAGCTCAAAGGGTGGTTCATAGAGAGGTCTGCAGTGAGTATCAGACATGTGAGTGACTCAAATAGTACATAAAATTTTGTGTGTCAATGTATATAAATCCACATAGCTCAGAATGTAGTCAATACCTAGATACAAATGTTTCCCCTACTGTGACCTTGTCACAGAACCTCACAGCCTCAGTTTCCCCATCTGTCGAATAAGGATAGTAATCATACTGACTTCGTAGGGTTGATGTGTGGTTTAGGTTCAAAGGGCTTAGCAAAGGGCCTGGCTCTCTACAAGTCCTTGGTAACCCCTGCTGTGTTTTGTTTTGTTTTGGTGATACTGCTGATTGAACAGCAGGTTTTGCCCTGAATTTATTTATTTATTTGTATTTTGAGACAGGGTCTCATTGAGTTGCTAAATTGGCCAGGCAGGGCTTGAATTTATAATCCTCCTGCCTCAGCCTCCCAGAGTGATGAGATTACAGATGTGTGCCACCATGCATGGCTGCTGTTGCTATTTTAATTACCAATAAGACCTGAGCAGCAGTGGTCTCCAAGCTAATCAAGCTCCACCTTCTCATGGACTGATGCCAGAACCAAAGTCCAAAGCAGTTAAAGAATGTGCCCAGGGCTCTAGATGGCTAATAAAAGATCAACATGGGTCCTGTGGTACTGTTGTTTCAGATGCAGCCATACCAGGAAACTGGATCGTCAAGAATGCCATTTGCATGTGCCACACCACAACTCGTGCCCAGCACATATTTACCGGGTGAATGGATGAGATGATACTTAGATGTTCTGTGAACTAATGCAGGTAGTCAGGAAAGACTACCAGAGGAAGTAATGCTAAACTGAGTCCTAAACAATGTGTAGGAGGGAAAGGAGGGAGGGCGGGAAGAAATGAAGGGGGAAAAAGGAGGTACCAAATAAAAGGAGGTTCAGGGCAGATGAGAGCTTAACCTGCTCTCCTGAAAACCAGGCTGTATTTATGAGAACAGTAAGTAGGTAAGTTATAAGACCAAATTCATTAGGCAGATCACCCTGGCAGGGATTTTAGAGAATTGGTGGGGGTAGGGAAGCAGTGGCAAAATGATAAAGAATCTTACATTTCATATTCTATAATAAATGTATACTTCTTCAAGGGGCAACTTGGTAATTTCTGTCCCCAAAATGCACATATTATCTGATCAATTCTACTTCTAGAATCTGTTCTCAGAAATGATATATGTAAGACATCCACTACATTGTTTGTAAAGGCAAAACACAGGAGCAACCTAGAAATTTGTCAAAGGGTGTTTGATTATGCAAGTTAAAGTAAACCCAATATAACAGAGTATTATGCAGTGCTTTTAAAAAGATAGGTTAGTTCAATCCGTGCCAGTATGGAGAAATTTCTAAAACTTGTACATGAAGAAAACCATTTGGATGCTTGGGTTTTTTTGGAGGGGTTGGGGGCTAGAGACCAAGGATGGAACCCAGGACCTTCTCACTGGGCTACATCCCCAACCCTTTTTTTATTTTTCATTTTGAGATAGGGTCTCACTAAGCTTCTAAGTTGCCCAGGCTAGGCTTGAACTCTCAAACTCTCTATCCTTGTGCCTCACCCTCCTAGAACAGTGGTGGTGAACCAACAGCATGCATGCCACAGTGGGCTGTTTGTATCATTTAAAGATATAAAAAATTTACCATCACTATCTTAAGAGTATTAGGCATTACAGGTGTGTGTGACCACATGTGGCTGCATGCTTGTATTTTTAAAGGACATGCCTGCCCTCCCCACATCTGTATGCCCTGAAAATCTGTCTGGAATAATGCATAAGAAACTGGTAACTAACCATCGCCTTTAGGAGAAGAAATGAGTAACTGGTTAACAGAGGAGAAAAACAGTTTCCACAACATGTATTCCCTTTAATCTACTCAGACATTGTACTTTATACCCACATTAACTATTCATATAGACAAATAAGGAAACCAAAGTAATGTAGCAAGTCTTTCCTATAGACAGCCTATATCCCCCCTCAACAAACTGACTGACACTCAGTAAAAACATCCTGATTATGCCCCCTCCCAGGAAGACAGTCTCTTTAAGGGCTCTGCACAAGGGCCATCACAAGGAGGAATCCTTTCCTAACACTTCCCACCAGACTCACTGCTTCTTCCTTGCTATGAAATGAACCTTTTAACAGGTTATTGCATCTATTCTTTTATTTTCAACTGTCTCATCTCACAGGAGAGCATTCCTTGAAGTCAGGGACTGCGAATTACTCAACTTGGAGTCTCTAACAGCTACCAAAGGGAGCTGACAGGAAGGCCATAAATATTTGCCGAGCATGAGGAGCCAGTATGGAACTTGAGAGTAGAAGACGTACAGGTATGTAAGTTCCTGATTTGTTTTGTTTTTAAAGAAACAGCTGGCTCCTCTCATACTGCTTAAGCAGCCATCAAAACCAGTTCTACTGAAGTTTTAAGACCTGGCCAATTACAGAATGGACAGGGTGATAGAAGTGGGGACTTTACAAAGAAAAAGAGAAATGAAGGGTAGACAACAGAGTATTTATGCACAAGGCTGGCCTAAGGGTTATTGCCTCAGAAATAATACAGAGGAAAGCAAACTCCCAAAACCCCAGAGTATCAGCCAGAACAGTAGATGTTAATTACTGTGGAAAAAGGGTGACACTATATCATTTTAAGAAATGATTTGCTTTCAATAGAAATTTTTTTTTAAAGGGCTAGGGATGTAGCTCGGTGGCGCCATGCCTGCCTGGCAAGCACAAAGTCGTAAGTTCCATCCCCAGTACCAGGAAAAAAAAAATCCTCAAATTGTGGCTTTAGCACTCCAAGGGAAAAGAAACACATCTCAGAACAAACAGAACAAATTAAGCCTGAGTATTTATTATCCCTAGAAAACTACTGATGTTCAAACTTTGTTCAAAAAGGAAGATTCCTTCATTTAAGAATCCTTTTGGTACATTAGTGTTCACACACTCAGATTTTAAAATAACTGGATTTAAGCCTCATTTTCAAAGCTGGAATTCATCCCTCACAGGAATATGTGTAAACTTATAGGTGAGCAGACAGGAGGGCCTGGGGCTGGCTTAGCCCTGCTTCTGCCACCAGTCAGCTGGCTAGTCAGAAAGTTTTCTAGCTTCTATTTCTACTTCTGAAAATGGCTCTAAAGTCTACCTTATCCACAGAATGCCGCGCGGCTTCCGCACTTCTCTTTATGTAACTCATGTCTTCCTAAAAGAGCAGGCTTTCCCCTCCAAAATATGGTGTAAGGAGATGTAAAAACCTGCGTTCACCCATCTGGTTTTCTTTCTTGGGAATGACTGCTGCTGTCCAACAGTGGGTAGTAGCAGGAGACCAAACAACTAGACTGTCAGCACCACCAGGGCAGGGGTTAGCCTCTCCCACCTGTAATAATCCTATAACACCAAAAGCTTGATGACGACACCTTGCTGAATATGATGGACAGTGCCTTCGAGCCATGGCTCCAACCTTGCAAAAGCCACTTACTTGATCTCTTTCTGTTTCTTCATTCATAAGTGAAGCTGTTGTTTGCTTGACTCTTTCCACTGGGTTCTGGTGAGGCTCAAAGGGGACAAACAAGGAAATAGTCTGTAAACTAGAAAACCCAGGCTTGTATTTAGTCTCAGCCAGAACCAAGATGGAGAATCTGCAAGTTAGGCCAAGTTCATATGG